TGGCGGCCGGCCGGTGGCAGCATAAAAGTGGCCCAGGAGAAAATAAGACACCTGGAGGCGGAAAGCTCGGGGCTCCTGGCGGCAGCGGAGTTCAGGGAGAAGGAGGCGTGCTCCATGCAAGAGAAGGCGAGCCTTGCGCAGGAGCGGGCTCTCGCGCACGAGAAAGCTTTGGCGAGCGCCTTGGAGCAGGTGTGTCGAATTAACTTCTAAAGCTTCGGTTGGTGGATTTTATTTCTTAGTTCAGTAGTGGAACATAAGCGATCGCACACGTAGCCATGGACGAAAAGTAAAAGTCGCTGCTGTGTTCTTGGCGTGGTGACTTACACTGCCCGGTCACGTGCTGTTGTGGTGATGCGGCAATACCTTGTTATCAAGATGTGTGTACAATGCATCAGTCGGTTTTAATGAGTTATTCGTTGAACAGTTGGCAGGACTGGACATTTTGATCATGATGTATAGAAGTATATGTTTTTTGTGTCGGCAACGAATTTGCCGGATGAAGCCAATGTTGTCTGTCTTGGATGGCCCAACGGAAGTTGTCACTGGTGAATGTTGGCAGTCGACCCAGCAGACACGCAATGTCTGTCTTCCACCCTGTGCTGTAGGAGAGCACGTGTAGGAGAGAGACAATTAGAGATTCAGCGGCATCTGTCTATCGTCGCACACACAAGAAACAGATATCGGTGCATGACCACCGATCCCTTCGTTTGTCCCAAGGCTGTGGCACCTGTGCGATCGATCAACAACCTATCGCACTCTAGATAGGACACGAGATGTCCTTCGTCTATGGCACGAAGTAAAAACACTTGTCGTCGACAGCTATTATGGTTAGCCTTACAACTTTGTTGGGGGTGCTCTCCCCCCCCTCCAAATCATGCGCTCTTCTGGGACCTATGACCCCCCCCCCCCCTCCCCCCGAACTGTTTACCTCTGTGTGACGAATGTCTTCATCTCTCCATTCACGCTCGAAATCGTCGGGCGCCCCTGGCATCGTCTTGCCATGGTGTGACGTCATGTGTGGTCGGGCTGTGGCGTTTCTAGCTAAGGTGGTTGGGTGTTCTTCAGATGCTTCACTCCCCTGCGAGTTGTAGTCCGCCGGTTTCTTTCTCCACCGCCGACCCCCCACTGCACTCACTTTTCTGCCGATGATGATGCTTCCTTGACTCTAATTGTTGTCATCGGGTTGTGGTTCGATAAAGTTGCAGGTTCTCTTTGCACCTGCAAATGCGCCCTTTCTTTCCTCTTACGGCCTCACAGCTGAGTCGCCTCTGCTGATATTTATTGTTTTGGTTGCGCGACTGCCCCCCCCCTCTCTCTCTCACTCTTTCGCTCTCTCTCACCCTCTCTCCTCCTCCTCTGCTGCCGCTGCTGTCGCTGCTGCTGATTCCCCTGCCGGCGAGAGCAGCTGTCAGATTCGGGCGTTTCGCAATCGAAGAAGCTGGCTGAGCTCGCCGACGTGACGCAAGAGCTCAAGCTTACGAAGGCGGCGTTGGAGCGAGCCGAGAGGCTAGTGTTCGACCAACGACGGGAAGGTGCGTACGGCGGTACGGCCGCTTCGTAGGAGTCAAAGTGCTTACAGACCGTCAGCAGTTTGTTACGTATCGTGTGACCCGCACCGGCCTTGCGGGAAAGCCTGCCTCTGGCCTTCCCTGACGTCTCATGTACAGCAGAACGATTGTTGTGGGTATGACATGTTGTTGCTATCGTTGATTTGATCTTGACGTCTTGTGCTGTCCAACGTGCTGTGCGTTCAACCGGTCGGTGTCGGGGGTTACGCGATATCGCAACGTGGCATGGCGGTATCTGCCTGACGGGGACCCGGTGGCGCAGCGGACGAGAGGCAGCGCGATGAAGACCGCCGGCGAGCGGAGACGGAGGCGCTGAGAGATAAGCTCACCCGGGTGGAGCGCAAAAACACAGAGGTATGTACACCTAGAGTGAAATTACACGGTGACAAATCACGACGCACACGCCGCACGTAAGCCTTCCATGACGTGCTCCAGATCCGAAGGCGTGCTTACATGGCCTATTTAGTGCACACACGCGTTTTTTTTTTTTTGCAAACAACACGTCCATGCATGTTGGTTGGCACCGAGGTGTGTACGCCACCAAGAGCACAGCAAAGCAACGTCACCGAGACCTCACCAAAAGCCTGTACGTCAAGTTAAAATCCGTGCGTGTGTGCCTTCGGCGGCAGCGGCGATTCTCAAGACCGCGGCAGATGTCGCGCTGCTTGTTTAGTACACGCCCGCGCTCCTCCCAAGTCCTTCCTCCACCTCGTTATCCTCCCTCCCTCCAGATGCACATACCCCCGGGGGGACCCCCACCTGCGTTCCCCCCTTGTGCCCGTGCTTACATACGCCGGTCGCTCTCTTTTCGTGGTCGGTTTGGTGTGTCGCATGTGCTTGCTGTGGACGCAGCAGCTGGTTGATGGACTCGTTTCGCAGACACACACGGGGCTTGCTCCGTACGTACCTGCAAGTATTTCGTGTTCCGCGTTAACAATCCATGCTCTGCTTGTTTTCCTGTTCCTGCCTACACAACCTGGGCCCGCCGCCGTGTTGCCGTAAAAAAAAAAAAACAGCTGATGGCGAAGCAGGCGGCCGGGCGACTGGCCAAGCGAATGCGCGGCAATTTCGGGAGGAGCAGCACGTTCTGCGCGTTGTTCTGCAGCTGCTTCCGGGGGAAGCCGGCCTACCGACGGGTGGCGTCGCCGGCGCCGTTTGCGCCCCCTCCCGGCTCGTCGCCAGGGGATATCCCGTGGCTGGGAGAGGAAACCGTTGCCTCGCTCAGCGGCGGCGGCGGCGGCGGCGGCAGGGGGTTGTAGCAGCAGGCGGCGGGCGCCGGCGGAGCCGCGGGTTGGATGGCATGCATGCATGCAAGCGATTCGCCTGCGCTGTATCCGCGTTTTTTGTTTTTTCCTCTCGCCCGAGCTACAAGTAGTTCCTACGATGGTTGGGAGGTTTTTGTAGTGGTTGGGTGTTGTAGCGTTTTGTTCACAGAATGGGGAGAGCCCTGTGCGGGACTTTTTTTGGATGGGCAACGCTGCTGAGCCGCTTGGCTGCTTCCGTGTGTCGTCTACCTGTATCACAAGTTTTTTTTTCATGTTTTTTTGTTATATTTACCCTCCCTTCCGTATGGTGATCGTCCGCGGCGCGTAGAATGTAAGCAACTTCGCCTGTTGTGTCGGGTGGGTGTTTAGGTCCTTTGGATGTATGCTGGGGCGGGGTAGGTGTAGTAGCGGTGGTGTGCATATCGGGAGTCAGGCCCATCTTTCTCCGAAAGGAAAGTCTTGGAACAAGATAATTTTTGCAGTCAGGCCTGAGGGCAGGTAAGGTCGTTTCAAGGCTGTATCCGGCCTGTGTGTGGGTGTTTTTTTTTTTTACGTCGTGCATCTCGCGAAAGTGCTGGATACCCGTCCGTGTTACAATACGTGCTGATTACATGTCCAGTAACAGCTACATGAATCGTCTCAAGACATCTACGAGTTGGTCGGCAGGGAGGTTGTCTTTTCGACTCTGGCACGGATTAAGGAAGGCGTGCGGCAAGTAGAGCGCCCAAGCACTGCGGTCGTAGTCTTATTACGAAGAGAACGTGCTGAAATGTAAAACCAGTCGGGAGTCTCTATCGTCTACATGGCGTTTTGCGTGTGTGGTGTGATGTGGTACCTCTTTTTGTGGGCGTTTTTTGTTTGGTGCGGTGAGAACCCCCTCCCGCCCTACAACTGAAACCAATAGCAATTTTTGTTTTTTTTGTTCTGTCTGTGAACCCTGGACACTGCTCCTAAAAAAGTTTTAAACGAAAGTGTTATTCGTCGTGGGTGATTGATTGCCCACCGCGTGGATCGATTGACTCGGTGCGCTCGCTTGAGCTCTGTGTGCTGCTGGCTTCTTGCTTTGTCCGGTCCGGTGAATGGTTGTGGTGTTGTGGTTCCTTGCAAGAGGGCATGGTGGCTGCCGTGGGTTCAAACCGAAGCAAGGAATAACGACAGCACGATGAAGCCATAACCGAGCAAGTGCTTCGGTGGGCATGGATATTTGTGGGTGTTGTTTCCCGGGGGGCAGCTTTGTCCCCACCGCTGCAGTCTTAGTTTGTAACGCGTTTTTTTGTCTGGGTGGCTTGTGCGGTCTGAACCATGTGTCCCCCTGATGATGATGAGATTTCTCTTCGCGTCACGTTCTTTTTGGGGCCTTTATAAAACGATTAAGTATTAGCAGAACCCGTTGTGTGGCTGGCTACTAGCCTGGTGACAACAAGTGTAAGTCGGTCCCTTCGCCTGGGAAGGGGAGCTTAGGCTAGGAGATGAAAACACTAGAGAGAGATAAGTCTGAAGGCCAAAATAACGACCACAACAGAAATATCAAATCGCGGGTAAACTACAAGCCCGAAGTCATTCGCAGCTAGCTGTCATCCGTATGCAAGCAAGCACAAGATCCCGAACACCCTTGGCAGGATGCAGCGCACCTTCCATACGACTCGCCGAAGGCCTCACAGCGCGTCGCGCTTGGTGATGTGAGAGCCTGGTCCGAGGGATGCCAGGTCAATGGTCTAACGACTACGGCATACACGGCTATGAGTACCCCCTCCCACGGATTTCGAACGGGGCGACGCAGGTTGACACTGCACGGGCGATGTGTCTATCCACATCTATCACCGACAAGCCACGCGATCGATGTATCTGAATTAGACTTGTAGCGTAGCACCGAGACTTGCAGTGGTTGGGCATTCCGTGGATCGGAAATAAATTAAACTAAATAACGCCTCCTGTTGCACGAAGTCTAATGGTCGACTGAGCAAGCACATACATTACATACAGGCAGACATGCAAATAGCCTCTCTGGAGAGCAAAGACGAACTGCAAACCTCAAGAAAGATGACAGATTTTGCATACAGAGGCGGCCTTTCTTAGAAGAATACAACCACCTTGAGAACATAGGCAAACAAACAAGCCTGTCAAGGGAAAGAAACGAGCTCACCAAATTCCACGCGCACCCACAGATACAAAAACACAACAAAAACACGAACTTCTTTTGGCACTCACTCTCAAACGCGGTCAAGCTCGCTAAAAACTGCCTGACCTCGACTACCACCGTTGCACTGCTACCGCACCCAAACAAAATAATACTGGACGTTAGCAGGAAAGATGCCACGTCGCGCATCTCTCTCTTGTCTCCACACGACCATAATGATTTTTAAAAAAACGCAACAAAGCGAGCGTAGTTTCATTCGGGAAAAACGGGCCATCACCCTTGCGCACTCGTTTTTCTGTCCGCCAATATAATAGTTAACACCGAGCTTGCTACTCCATCCAGAGACGATACCGCGAGGTACGGGGCGGGACAATTCAGGAAAACAAATTCAAGTCACGTTTTACTACAAGTAGTCTACAACAAATAGCCTACAAGTACACCAAACCGCAAACGAACAAAGGGAAGGAGCAGGGTGGGGGGGGGGGAGACCCTTCCTCAAAAATTGATGCTCATGGAAATGAAGCCACAAACACGCAGTGCCAACAACGAGAAAAAAACATTATAACAACGACACTGCCTCTTATTCTCGGTTTGTCTCCCGAATGACTTTTCAGCAATGGACCAAAAAAAAAGAAAGAAAAAAGGAAAAAGAAAACCGGGTTACTGGTGTCGATGGTGAAGAGGGACCGTTTTGTGTGCGCCCCGCTACCCCCCCCCCCCCCACACACACAAAAACATCATTCTCATGAAACGCGTGGGACACCCATCATTCACCACCACCGTCCGCCTGCATGTCATGTCACTTGTCGAGGACAAACCAGCGGAAACCAACAAGCCAGTCAAGAAACGCAACGC